TTAAAAATAAATATCCTTCCATCATAGTATAACCAACAATAACAAAAGAAATAAAACTGGGGATGAACTAGGTATCGAAATATCCTATTGTTTACAAGGAGGCCGAGTGCTACATTTAATGGATATCTGCAACGTTAATTTTTTCAATATGAAATGTTAAGTTTTTTTATTTTTTTAAACAGCATTTAATATTGAATGTTAATCAAAAATCTAGATGGTAAATGGTACTTGAGGGTTATCGTGACTTCCAAGAATGCATTTTAATTTTTAGATAATAATAACTGAATTGCTTGTCAAAAAATAGCTTATTCATTTTCACCGAAAGATATACAAAATTATTTTTCTGTTTATTTTATTATTTTTCAAAAGATTATAACTTTGAAACTATGTGAAACCTAAAAATTCTGATTGCATCATTTAACTTGGTGAAACACAGAAAAAAAATGCTTGGGATTTAAACTGCATTTTTTATGGCGTAATCAATTTATTTGTGCAATAGTGGATAGCGCCGGCAGATGTTTTTCATGAGCCTTAGAAATTTTGTTTCGTAGGCACAACACATTTTCTTGGTACGTTACAGTATTATTCGTTTGAATTTTTTTTTAATATTATATACTATAAAAAAAAATACTTACCTAAAAATATTTATAAGAATGCTGTGCACCTAACCAATTAATTTTTGTCAGTGAATTATTTTGGAAGTCTCCGCCGTGCGCCAGCATTATAATTTTATTTATTTTTACCCTCACTCGTTTATAATAAATTATAATATTATATTCCGATATTAGATCATCAACTAATAACGCTCATTAATCATTATTATATTCTTTGGTAAGTGTAGAAGGCAGGGACTATTAAGAGCAATTCATATAATTCAATACACCAATACACGACTACACTTGCACTACGCAAAACGCAACTTATTTATCGTTCGACTCCGAACAGAAGAACAGCACGTGGGCTGGCGGGCTAACCACAAAAAAATTAATGTAACCCGTATATTAATACGGATTTCCGGCACGTGTGTTTCGACAGAATCAATTTTTATTATAAAAAAACAACAAATTTCSATAACAATTTCGATATTGTGAGTAYAGATCTGATTGACAACGATAATTGTCAGTTGTGAGTGAGAGGATTRACAAAAGTTGTACCGACGATCGGACGTATCGAGAATAAAAACTCAAACGAGTTAGTTGTCAAAAATTCGAATACAAAATCGATTCACGAAAAGGCTAAATGCAGCGGGCGGCGCAAAAAAGACGTGCTAACGCGAGGTCGGTAGCGGAAGAAAGAGCSGTGCGTGACTGTTCGCGTGAAGACTGAAGAGGTACCTACGTCGGTTGGTAACGGATACAACAAAAAGGACGGGGCGAAATTTGGTTGGACGTCGATGGATTGGACTGCGCACGTGAGGTTGGCAAGTGAATTCTTGCGTGCGATGAATGCTGGTTCGAGTCGATCGATGGAAATCCACGCCGTGCAGGACAGGTCGCGTTGCACCTCGAACGTCTTCGAGCCCTCGTAACGTGCAGAATGGAGCGGTGCACTGACCGCGTCGATCCTGAAAAAAACATGGTTGATCCGGCTCAGGTATAGGTGGCCACAAACGTAGTGCGTTGAGTATCGTGGTTCGTATCTGGGGTGTATCGGAGCTGTCTCGTGGAAGCTTGTTCGATGCCCTCTTTGACTGTGTTGCGCAGCGCGAGTAGTACGATAAGCAACTATTGCTATCCAGTTTGTATTGATATACCGCTGTGACGATTCGTACGCATGCGGTGAAAACGTTCTACCACCCYTTTGGCTTGAGGGTGATGCTAATTTKCTGAATGCCAAAGGTGATTAAAAWAGATTTGAACAGATCGTATTCGAACTGTCGGCTGTGGTCGATGGTGATGACGTTAGGCACGCCGAATTGTGCTATCCAGYRCGATTGCGTAAGCCAACATAACCTCGATAGGCAACATCACCAACATCTCTGGCCAGCATGTGAATCGGTCGACGACGGTTAATAGGTATACTATTGTATCCTCTGGATGGTGGTAGCGGCCCAATCAAATCAAGATGAATGATGTGACCGAGGCTTTGTTCGATGTGATTCCTGACGTCGTGTGTTTGTGTACTTTGGAACAGTGGCGTAGCCAGGGGGGGGGGTTTTGGGTGTTATAACCCTCCCCCTCAGCCGTATTTATATCAAAAATATAATGTTTATAATATAGGAATACAATCATTTGGTCGTGGTAAAATGTATTCTGTTATTAAAACCCCCCCCTAAAAAAAATCATGGCTACGCCACTGCTTTGGAACGGTTCTCAGGCTCCGATCCATCGCATGATTTTTCTATCCATGTCCGGCCTGCAGCAATAGCGCAATTTGATGAGACGGATGGTGGCACGACGACCACCTTGAGCTAAGCCCGGATTAAGACCTTCAGGGGCCCAGGGGCCAATACACGGTTGTGGGCCCCCATCAATAAAAACAATTCTTTAAAATTATAAAAGTAGGTATACAAATATACAATAGGCTTGAGCTTGATCGTACAACGAGTCGAAAACTGTGCGCRCTGCCCGCGGAATAATCCGAATAGAGCACGCCGTTCGGAAAGGTGCGCGCCTGTAGCGCCAACGAACTTATTGTATTATCAGCAGCGATAACACCTACACTGGAGCTTCGGATCGTTAGCTTGGTCGATTGGGCACTGCCGTATAAGTCCGGTAGCGTTGTTGTCTCGATGATTTCAAGTGTCGGCTACGTGTCAGGGACGATGTTGTCCTTGCCCGAAATGTGTTCGACGTTGCAGTATATGAATTGAGGTAGAAATGAAATTTGTTTTACCTGTAGGTCGATGATCTTTTCTGCCTTGAGTGTAAACATATAGGTGAGCGACTTGTGAATTGTGATCCATTTATGGTATCGTGAGGCACCCCTTCGATGTAATAGATGAAAGGTCGAGCACCCTTCAAATACGCAACGAGAAGTTATTTGTCGTGCGTGCTGTATCTTTGTTYGGCGGGAGATAACTTTTTTGAGAAAAGGTGTCGAAACCGGTTTGCGCGATCGACGTTCACTATATGTAGTAAATCGTCCTGTTTGCATTGATCTCGGCTGCCATGTCGTACAGTGGCGCTTGTTCAGTTCGTCCGCGTTGGTATAAAACAATGATAGAAGTTCAGTGAACCGAGAAAGCGTTGAATCTGCAGACAACATTTATATATCTTGTTGTATTTGTTTTAAAATTAAAAATACAATAAGATATATAAATTATAAGCTTACAAAGTTATACAAATCATGAAATGCGATGAAAGACACGGTACTCCTAAAATGGCGGGGCCCTGGGGAACTACCCCCTTTTCCCTGCCTTTCCACCGGCACTATTAGAGATTATTACAAAGTYGACGGTGCAATGTCGCAGGACACAAATTGGTCGTCATCTGGTATAATATTTTTTTAAATCTTAAATATGCATAATTATATGCACTAAAACGTTGAAATACGTTAGAAAAATAAAAAATATGCATAAAAAAATTAGCAAAATATATATCTTTTGAATATTTAATTAAGTCAATGTAATATTTAAAATTATGAAATTCTTCTATGAATACTTTTTTTCATTTTGTTCTGAAATAATGTCAATGGTGATGAATGGGTCGTAATCGTAATGCGTACTTTTTGGTTCAACGATTGTTGACCTAAGATCTTTGGAAAAACCGTTTATACTTATAAGTATACCTATTAATAATTTATTTCGATATAAATCGAAACTATTAAAACATAATATTTTTTCTTAGATATATTACAATAGCATCACATATTTCAAAGATTTCTAAAAAACAAAATATATTGAAATRTGAAATTAAAATTGTAAATTAAGCCCTTAAAATAGAAAAAAGTGTAAATATCAATATATGCACTTAAAAGTTTCATTTTATAAATCGTTATGCTATGAAACATGTATTATGCTCACTTATTAGCATATCATACAATCATCCTGAATACAAATGCATATAAATCCGCGCTCTAGTTATTAGTTACAGTAAATAAAGCAAGTATCGGGGAGTCATGATTTTATGTATTATTTCTATAAAATACACGACCTATAGTACCTAATACMTATAAATTATAATATGTATATAATCAAATAACTTAAATATAGTTTGCCAATTTAAAAAAAAAGTCATGGAGAAAATAAGACATCAAAATGCCTCCTTCTCCGTAATTACACCATTGATCGTATAAGTACTGCAAATAACATTTATCATTGAATTTATATTAATAACACATCCATTACAGCAGTGACCAACTTAATAATATTAAGGGGTAGGTACACTCGAGTATTTCACGCCTATTAACAGCAGAGCACCTTTACCGATTGATTAAATTTTTTTTTTTAATAAGAAAATCCTTAAAATTAAAACCCGGAAGTTAATTGTTTATAGTAGCTAGGTACGCGATAATTTAGAACAATAAAAAAATAATAAAGAAGTATATACCTATATAAAAATTAAAATGTTTTATTTGTCTTACCAATGATGAATAATAAATCTGGATTAAAAAGCGTCATCGATCGAAATAAGTATTTCATTCTGGTCTCCTCGAAAAATAAAAATCACAGCGCGACACGTGCACTGTCTACGTACAGAGGCGGTTTGAATGTATTATATRATTTAGTGGTGCAAGACAATATATATGGACACCCACTCACCAACCCCCCCCTTCATCATAGAAATTACAAATAAATATTTTTTTATAAGTTTATAGTTTATATAATTATAAGGTCCTTGTATTCTTAACTCGACGCTTTCAACAATTTCAGCCACGATTAGGTACTTTATTATTATTATCATTTATTGAACATTAAAATTATTAAACATTGCGGTCAGCACATGCTCAACCAAGACCACCCAGCCCCCTAACATTGGTAGTGCAGTGCACCAAAAACAGTATTCTCAAACCACCTCTGTCTACGTAAACGTATTAACGCGTTACAATATGTTCCGCAGGCGGTCCTCTTGGCGTTGACTTGYGTAGTGCATTACGATCTGTTGAGCTTGTTTCTGCCTCATCCGTACGGGCGGCGCATCATGTACGCAGACAACGAACAACAGCAATACCGACCAAGATCCGAGGCGGACCACGTGTGGATACCGAAACCGGGAACGGCTCCGAATACGTCATATTTTCTACCACAGCCGGTGATCTTGCAAGTCAACAGCGATGACGGCGAGGACTTCTGGACGGACTCGGACTACGATGTCGGTGGTGCCCATAATAATCGCGGTACGCTTTCCAACGTTGACGTCCACCAACAGGAGCCTGCATCGGATACCGTGGTTGTCCGTGTTCCTACCATTACCACGACTGAGGTACCGGATGACAGTGACGACAACTACGTCGATGACGATGATTACGTTGCTCCTGAACAAGAGTGGGACGACGACGTCTTTTGACGTGCTTCGCCTTGTTCCCAGTCAGTGCGAAGAGTTTTCACGGCTTTCATATATCGCAATAATTTACTAATATTGATCTATATTACATATACGTTACATGTATAATATAATATTCTTTTTGTCTTTGTAAACCGTAAAGGCACCATACACCTGCACAACTTTGTGTTTCGTATGGAGTTGTGYCATGTGAACATTTAAATTATTAAATTGATATAAATAAAAATRAATAATATTATAATTACATAAAAATGTTGGCATTTTAAAAATCGTAAAAATATACAACTTGATTTGGACACATTATTTATTAATACCAGACAAATAGGCTAATTTTTAATTTTTTAACTTTTCATTACTCTTTGTGCCTAAACTGGAAATATTTTCTTCGAAACAATCTTCATACTTATTTATTTATTACATCCTTTAAAAAGTTTTCTTTGAATTTTAACATGGTATTTATATTTCCATTAACTATAGTTAAACTATAGTGTCTAGTATATAACTCATAAGTCATTTGTGCAATGTTGTATACTTGCGGTTAGTCGTTGATACACTWTTTACAGGCGAATGGCGATAACCATTAGCCATTAGGCGTCCGGTGTGACCGGCTAGTATAGGACATATTTACTCCCGGCGATTATTACTCCCCGTGATTTGGGGAGTTAAAATATAGCGGGAATTATAATCACCGGTTAGCATAGGAAATAATTACTCCCGGCGATTATTACTCCCCCAGTTAAAATCACCAGGGAGTAAAAATCGCCTGTTACACATCCCCGAGGCAGAGGGTCATGGTATGGATTTTATTCATACCTCATTCATTGAYAGTTTAAAATTTTTATGATGCAAACCATAGATAATATATGGATATTATATTCCCAGTTTTATTATGATCATGTTTAAATACATATTATATTATAGTCATATAGGTAGGTATTATTATTTTAAGAACTAGAAATCTATTAAATTATTTTTGGACTTCATAGGAACAGGAAGTATTTTTGTACATATGAGTTATCTATACTTAAAAGTTATAATATACTCATGTGTACTGTGTAGTTGTTCATCATACTTTTCTACATTTCTWTATAATTATTAATAATAAATATTTAAAGAACTAGAAATCTATTAAATTATTTTTGGACTTTATAGGAACAGGAAGTATTTTTGTACATATGAGTTATCTATACTTAAACATTATAATATACTTCTGTGTACTGTGTAGTTGTTCATCATACWTTTCTACATTTCTATATAATTATTAATAATAAATATTTTTAATGTATGCTATTATAGATATTCTATGATTGCATCATTATTGATTAGTTATTTATCTAGTTTTTTAATAATAATATTTTGACATTAATAAAATAGTTACACATATTTCCAAAATATTCAGACAAATTTCTGATATTGATATAAATGTCTAATATGTAGTGCTTTATTTGGAAGAACAGTAGAAGGGGGACTCAGCGGATGTTTGGTGAACAAGCATTCCACACAAAATTAACCGTCACATTACCGTGGGGGGGGGCAAAGCCCCCCACACCCCCCTTCAACCACCCATAATCCCAAAAAATAGATTTATTATACAAATATATTTTAAAAGAAAAAACATTTACTTATTCATTATTTTTTTAAGACATTAAATGTTAAATTATCAATTAATAATTCTACAAAAAAAAAACTTAAACTACATATTAAATAAGGTCCATAAAATGATTTATCTTCATTTTTAAAAGATCATTTAGGACAGTTTACTTCATCTGAATTTCTTTTGCCACTTTTAATGCAGCTCTCAAGGTAATGATCTAGTTTGAACAACTGAATGGGAGATCCGATGCAGTTAAGGAAAACCAATGAAGATATATGCCCTGTAGTCAAAGCATTTCTTTTTGATRTAACTATGTTGTTCATCGCACTGAAAGATCTCTCACATTCAGAGGAAGAAATTGCAATTGTTCTGACTGTAGTAACTTTGGTACTTTGATAATTGGAGATAAGATGAGTTATCACATCATCCAATATTCCAATGACAATATAATTATTTAGATTACGATTTACGATTTATAAAGATTTAATTCATAAAATGTATCTATTACATAATCACAGATATATGCTTATATTTCTGTGGGCATAATACAATTTAYTAGCAATTTAAAAATCAATTTTTTTATTTTCATTTTCAATTTAAATGTACAAATATTATGGCTATAGGTTATAGCCTATAGGTATATTTTGCAACAGAAAAACTGATGATTTACAAATTCTCTATAGTAAGTTCCCAGTGTTCCGTTTTAAATAAATAGAAAGGGTTCGCTAAAAAAAAAATTTAAAAAGAAGGGGAATCCGCCCCCCCCCCCAAATCAAGCACTGCAAATATGTGATTAAGAATAGTTTACTAAACCAAATTATCTACAAATATTCAATAATATTTTAATTAATAACATACAGTTCCAAGCCATATACTATATTAGTTAAAAGTAAAAATAAATAAGTTAGATCACCTAGACAGGTATGCACATAACATAGTCACATGTCACTGAAAAAAATAAATAACAAATACAATGTAGGTATAAAATGAATTTAAACAAAGTATTTTTAGAATAATATGGTCTTTTTAATCATACAATCATACATTATACATTCATGTTTAAGATATATCACAATAAAACAGATAAGATTAGGTCTTATAAATGTAGTTGTAAAAATAATAATAATGTTAATGTCAACATAAACATTTTTTCATCTTCCAAAATCATAAAATTACATAGGTATTACATTTTATATACGAACAAATTAAGAAACAATATAACTTAACTGAACTAAAATTATGTTGGTTAAGAAGACTCTTGTATCATCGCTAAACCCTTTGCATTCAAGAATATACACACATAAAATTACAAGACACACACTCACCCACTCTTGTACACATTAAACATTGTTCTAAATGAGAAAAAAATTGTATTCTTAAAAATTTTTGTTCGACATAACACTATAAATTACTATTTTATCATTATTATTTTTATTTTATGGCTTTTACAATTTATAAATATATAGGTGCTAATATTATATCAAGATAATATGGACTTAGAGCACGCAGAATTAAAGCGAAATAACAGTTTAATGTTTATAGCACAATAGCGGTTTACAGAGCATTTCACAGTTACCAGCCATTGTAGCTAAGTGTGTGCAACATATAATAATATAGTTGAAATGGCAATTGGGCATAAGGGACTTGGGATAAATGCAACTCAATAATATCAATCAAAATATTTTCTTTGTTGTATATATTTGAGGTATTATTAAACACTTAAATAATTTATGTTTATATTATTTATTAGCTATATCATATTACCTCACATAACATCATACATCAAGTTTAAAAACAATTTTACATAAATAAAACGAGAATCTTAATTACATTGTAAAAAGAGCAGCCCCGACTAAGTTACAAAAACTATCTTTGATCAGTTATAAAATTTGAAAAAAAAAATAATAATAAAACAAAACAAAACAAAGTTACAATGCACCGTATGTAAATTAAAAATAACGACAAAACGCTTAAGTCTATTCAAATGTTCTTACAATTGAGTAAAATTAAAATAAATGATATATAATTCTGACCATCAACAATATGGATTCAGAAAAAATAATGTAAAACATAATATTTTAACTCTGGAATTGCTAAACATATTATATATATATATATATTCACTGATTCATTCGGAACGTTTATACAATAACAGTTTTATTAATAATCAGTTTAAATATACAAACATTAGTTTAAAACTCATTCTACATAGAAAAGTTAAGGTAGAATTTATAACATTTAGGTTATGATTAGTAGTAGTTTTTACTTCAAGACATGTAAATGTACCAATAAAAAAATGGGAGAATAAATCTAAAAAACAAAAAAACAGAAAATGATATGTACAGTTTTTTTGTATTATGTAACAGTAACACGTCAACTATATAATTATGTAGTATAAATAATGTACTAATAGAAAAATGGTTTTAATTATATTTTAAGTTATATCTCAACCGAATATAGCTCGAATTTATACATTATATAAAGCATTAAACGAGAAAAAAACAATTTGTGTGGAAAAAACACCTTATAGTCAAGAATAAAAGTTTAAGTGATTTTGTTAGTCCACGTATCATTTTCATAAACAATAAATAAAAAAAAAAATCAATCGAAAATTGATAATCAACAGTTGTATCAGCCTTTGTACACAACCGAATTGCAAAATATTGAAAGCATAATATAGATGATATAATTACGTCGTTATTTATTTGTTTTTCATGCACATTATTTGAAGTTAATTTATGTGTATATATTTTAATATTGGTATGGTAAATGGTAATAGTATATAGTTCGGAATTAGCGTTTCGACTTCTCGTAATTGTTAAAAAAAATTAAATTATTATTAATCATAATATAATAATCATTATTCATAATACATATAGCTGCGCAACAATTTTTTGTTATATTATCTTATATTCCCCTCTTCAAATGTTGTTCGAAGTCAGTGTATAAACGGTTCAATCTCCTGGATGTTCAGGGCACGATCTATTCACTTCAAACCATCTGTCTATACATCTGAAAAAAAACAAATACCTAATTATCATAATTATTTAAGGACGGGGTCCCACACAATATAATTGGCGCGAACCGTTCGGTGTTAAAAACATAAACTTTATAAGGGATACAGGATATATATACAGAWATACAGGATACCGCATAGTTGATTTTTAAGTAAATCGCAATTCGAAATCTAATTAGAGATACAATTTGAATGACTAATACCAACTAAATATTAAATAATTCAGTGTTTCCCATACTTTTCCTCCACCGAACCCCTTAGGCTATGGTAAAAATGATTGCGAATCCTATAATAAATAATAATAATATTTACGGACCCTTTATAAGGGTCACAATTTGAGAAACGAGGACTTTTTTTTGTCTTTATAATGTAACTGTTTTGTTTTTATTAAAAAAAAAATTTTAAAAATGATAAAACCATGTTTAACCAGGCAACAAACCTTAAATCATATATATTAGTATATATTGTATATAATCTATATTCTATAAATTACAGACCTACAGCTTGAGGTACGTTATCCTCACGCCATTCCAATATCAAAAGCATTCACCGGTGACGCAATCTATAACCTAGCGAMAACCAACACCACATGCAATTTCTTATACCTACCAAAGTTATCATTAATTCCTGCAATAAATGTTTCTTATTATAACCGATCAAAACTGACTCTTTATCTCTTATCGATTAAATCGTAATAAGACCGTCCCCAAACTTCCTATCATGTTTTTATAGTTCATAGCATATTCTATAAAATTAAGAAACCTTGAAACTGCGGCCAACAAATAACACTATATACACAAACGTTCAACATAATATTATCCTCTCCGGCTAAAATTACAACACAGTAAGTTCATAATGACCGAGTACTTCCTAGGTCAATAATATTTTAATATAATTCACACTACGGTATAAGGTAGGTACGCCAAATAATCATAAAAACAACAGATAGAACATGGCCATATAAATTAAGATCGATACATACATAAAAAAATACATTCTAGCAAAATACTTTCATAACAAACATATTTCTGCTTCGCCCAAGAACAAAATATTTAATAGATATTTTTTAAATTAGATGAGTATTAACATATTTTGGATAACATAATTTTTAGAACATATGTAATATACACACAACACTAGATTTTATAATAACCCTTTCGAGTTTCGAGTACTCTAAGATTTTATATAAATGTGTTTTATTCATTGTGGATTAAAATTTTCACATTTCATCTAGTTCCAATTGACATTTATCGTCAAAGACTCTCGGTTAAAGTAATCCGTATAACGTAGTATGTATCAGTCGAATATTTTGATGTTCGTATTTATTCTTCTTGTGTTCGTTCTAATTATTTTTATGATCGACTCATTATTTAGGTCAAACTCCAAAAATAATACAAACACTACACGTGGTATAAGACATTTATAAACATTTCATAATCGTATCCCGATATTTTAATTCACAAGTTAAGGGGATTCCACACTAACACTTTTTAGAGTAAAATAGACCTATACGCGTTCCAACGTACTAACTTGAGTTTTACTCCTATAATAATTTTGAAAACATATTTGAATTTATTATGAAGTATATTTTGAATCCTTCGAATCAGAATAGTAAAAAAAAAAAATATATTATATACAAATCAGTTTTTCAAAATTAGTTTTTCAATGAGGAAATCGTATTTTATATGTTTTTAAATTATCCGATTTTAACGGACATTTAGTTTTAACTAGTATTTTGACAAATTTATAGATGTATTTTGTAAAAATGGTTAGGTAATAGGTATGTTGTTTATGATACTAACCGGAACTATTACTTTATCGAAGTACCGAACTAGTGAGAAGAACATTAGCAAATAAATTGATATTATGTACTTGATACGTTAGGTATATATAGCCATATAGGTTTATTTTATTGAAAAAATGACTAACATGAACACAAAATATTAAAGACAACAATTTAAATACATATTTAATTAAGTAAATAGTTATTTAATCTAAACAGTTGATCACTAATCACTATACCTATTAAAATCCTGTTCAAATAATTTATTACATTAAAGAAAATATACAGAATATCGTACCAATCATATCATATTATTTTATAATTTAATAAAAATTAGTGTAATATGTAACACCAATTTGTTTTCTAACTGCCAATTTCTTCAACTATATAGGTTAACTATACAATGGAAGCATAACAGGTTCCAGGATTACATTAAAATGTTATGAAAGTCTTATAGTTAATTTTGCAGTATGAATAAAAATATATAATATTCAATGTAATAAATTATAAGATTATTTATAAAATTAATAATCATTAGAACTATGAAACTGTAATTTAAAAAATATTACCATTATTCTTTGTTAAATGTTATGAAAGTATCTAACAATAAATATATATATGTATCTAATTTATTATATAATGTTCTATTCTTATCTAAATTAGGTACGTTTTGTCCAAAATAAAATAATACTACCGAATAGTTCGTACCTATACACATTAATATATATATATATAAAAATATATAGCGAACACGATATTAAAGAAATTCTCAAAAACTTAAAGTGAAAATGTGAAATCGAACTAGTTCAAATTCATCTTATAAATGTACGTATTGATGAATATTATTATTATGCATCGCGTTAAAATAATTTATGTCAAGTAACCATCTCAATGGCCCAGGCCCCAGACATATCTTGTATTTCACTTTTTATTCTTCGATGTCGTTAAATTGCAAACACTGACTTAGGTAGTTAGGTTATAGTTACAGTATTACACGWAAAATTATTTCTATGGTATAATTTTAAAGTATAAACATTGAGACGATAACATATGAGTTTAATGACCCGGAAACTAAATCCCTGTTATATTTAACCTTGATTTAGGAATGTCAAAAATCTAAATGAGAGGAACTTATCTCACTGAGTGTACTAGATTTTGGAACATCCGTTGAGTTAAAGCCAAAACCAAAAATATCTTAAAATCCAAAAGTTAAAGAGCAGAAAAGAGAAGGGGAGTTAGGGCATCGGTCCAAAATAAAATAATTGTTTTTATTTACTTTATTATATTTTCTTCAAACATCTGTAATACTCTAATACATCTTTTTAATTTTATACCAGTATAATACTATTACGTCGTTCATTTTTCGATTTTGATTTTAATTTTTAGATATCGGTTTTGGGAAATTATGATTTCGATTTTAATGTTGGATAACGGTTTTTCATTTTTCGATTTTGATTTTTTCATAAAAGATAGGCTGCTCGGGCTATTAGTTTGACATTTACTTAAAATTAGTTAATTCTCAATATTATTTTATTGTCAATGAAACATTTGCATAGAGACCATAGAGTAACAAATGAAGTAGGGAAATATTTTTAAAACTAAATCAAGTCAATAACAAACTAATAAATGAAAAAATGAAATGAATTATAATGAGGCAATGACGTAGCCAGGATGGCTGAGGAAGTTTAAAAAGGAAAATTAAAAAACACTTTCATCATTCTGTGAATGATATACGTAAGATTGCTGCGAAAATCTAAACATATCCAGAGTATCAGATATAAATACACCATACTTACGAGGGATAATTAAACTTTCCATATTATATAAGAAATTATCGACCAATGAAAAATTTAGACTACACGACTGAAATGAAAACACAATGAGGAGATCGGTGGCAGATAGATTTTAAGGAGATCCAATTTTTTTGAATTTTCGAATAGTATGCATATGGTCTTGTAAAATTAAGGAAAGTAAATGCTCATTAGTGTGTGTGGCTGTGTGTAAAAGAAATAGCGAAATGCTCCCACCCACGCATGTATAAGTCACTCCCTCGGCGTTGCGCACGAACGGGAAACAATTTAGCTTATTTGTAGGTATATACTTTTTGTCCATAACMATCTACCGATCGATCTATAATGCGATAATATTTTAGAAAATTGATTTAAATTCGATGGAATGTCTACTTGATCTCTGTTAGTCCACTTTTAAGATTTCTGTTTGATACTTCAATTATACGGTTTGAAAAGTCCAACATTCAAAATATTCAAAATTAGTTGTTTTTTTTTAGGGGGGGAGAGGAGAGTAAGATTGGTCAAACTAGACTGATCGAACAGATCTCAAGTAGACATAATAACGAATCAATTTTAAAAAGTATTATCGCGCATCAGTATGACAAAAGATAGGTTTGTTTTGGACAAAACAACTGTCTGCCACCGAACACCTTAATTACATATTAGTTAAACCACACGGATTACAGTAATAAAGTACTAAAGTATTTGTATTATAATATGGATTTAAAGACTACAACTAATAAATAATCGAACAAAGATGACGAATAATCATAATAGTGAGTTACCTAATAGGAATYATAATAGGAATGTACGAGTGGTCAGAAAATTTCGTAAATATGGACATGATTAATTTTTGAGAAATTTCTTTAATTAAATCAGTACCCCRCACCAAATAAAAAAATTAGTTTTTAATTAATTTAAATTCACAGGTTATTTATATTATAGTATACGTCTATAATTCGTAGTTCACGTTAATGATGTTCTATAGTCGTTTTTACGTAATTTTAACTGTTCGTAAAAAAAACATTTATATAGGCAGTGGAGTACATTTAACTTTATTGCGGGGATTCAATTATAATATACAAGTTTATCGAAGTGCTTTACCCAACACAATAGTTATATTATAGACTATACTATACTATACTATACTTTAATTAATATTCAGTCATTCAGACTTCAAGTAAAATTACATGTTGTAAATTGAAAAATTCGGTTTTTTTGATATATTTTAAAACGGTTCAAAAAACGTAATARATTTATAAATCGATTTTTAATATAGGTACTTACGTTTTATGGTATATGCAAAGACAAGGAAGCCTAGCTATGGTATCACCTTGTATTAGTTCTTCCAAACAAATTACACATTCACCTTTATCATCTTTTAAAACGTCTTCTACAAAATAACATAGCAATAATAAATCATATCGTTTAACAGACTGTAAATGATATTTTAAAATAGGTTAAACCACATATAAGTTATATTCAATTATAATACAATTATTAATAGATATGCACTGTATATTTTATAATGTTTCATTTTAGGAATAACAGTTTAAACTAATAAACATACCGTTGTAAATCAGTCTAGGTTTGGTCAAGCACATAACCAGATGTACTTCTATCTCGTCTGGTAAAACAAACTTTGAACATACTGGACACTTAATTCCTAAACATATAATTAATAGATTATATAAATATGATAAAAAAGTGTATGTAAATAATTAATTACTAATAATTGTATTGTTAAGGTATAATATATTTTTTTAAATAATAACACGCGATCAATAGATTAATTTTTTTAGAAAAACTATATATAATATATAACTATACTAGTATTAACATTTATATAACAAATTATAGTTTAATTACTTAAATTAATTAAAGCAAAATTAGGTAAGACAAGATAATTCTGAGTAAAACTCAATTAAATTACATTACATTTTTTTTTTTGAAATGTTGCCTAGCTAGATATCAGGTAAATATTAATAGGTAATTATAAATTGTATTTACCTTACAAAAAGACTAGTCAAATATTTTGTAACAATACCTTTGGAATTCATTTCATAACGGTGGTGAAAACAATTTTAATCTATAGATGCTATAACACTAGCTGACCATTAAATGTATTAATATGTAAAAATATATTTAACACTAAATTAGGTATACCGATTATTTTAATAATCTACAATCAGATTACAATGATTTACTATTAACTAAACGTTAATAATTTAGGAATCAAGAACACAACTTTTTTTGAACTGATATAGGTAATATCCTATTACTAATAGGTACCTATATTAAAATATTTTTTAAATCAATTCATGCATTATTATTATTTTTACTTTTTACTAAAAACAAGGAAGCTTCAATAGCGCCATTTATTGTACTGTATTATACTTAGATAGTTATTTAAATTATGTTGTAAATATAATATACATTAATATATATAAATAATGCTTTCGTCGTCCATACATCATGTTATAATTTATTATTGAAAACGAATAAAAATGATTATATGTGAATACTGAATAGGTACTAAATTCACACAAATCTTGATTCTTTTGTGTAATATTATGAAAATTAAGTAGTAAAAAGTAAATTCTAAAAATAAATTTCAATTGAATATAAAAAAAATTTTTGTATATAAATACTAAATGTATACCTACAACACAAATCAAACATTATTTTCAACAAAAACACATATAACGAACTTTAACCTACGACAGCTGATGGTGAACTAAAAAAGATCGTAAAATATGTATAAATGCTGCAATAATATCTGAGAAACTTTTTAGTACCGTATGTAAGTACTTAGTATTTTAAGTACTTAAAAGAGACCTGTTGGTTATATTAAAAACAGCAGATAATTTGTATAAGTCAACCAAATATAATATAATCGAACGGCACCGTATATTTTTATTTAGTTTTAAGAAGACAAATATACCTAAAAAATCACAAATTTACTTATTGTTTTATTATATAACAGATTGTAAATACATTTATTTATAAAAAAAAAAAATGTACCTATAATACAAATTAWAAAAATAAAAAGTTAAACGTTAAAGTTACTTAAAAAAATATATTCCAAATATGAAAATAGTAATTTAATTGATCATGAGCTTACAATATTTTATTATATTTATATTGTCTTGGATCCGCCATGTCTAATAAAAACCGTCATAATAATATACTAACTCAAAATTATTTAATTAATTGTCTGGGGGTACAACAATTTAAACGACAAAAACATCAAAATTTAGCAAGATATTTGTTTACAGACACATGTTTCAACTTTTAATAAACTACATTCAAAAGTTAAGAATCTGACCACGTATGATGCGCGTAATCGGAAACATCGCTTAAATAGTTAAATTTCACTGATCAGTTATCAGTTATCACAATATAGATAACTGATTAGCATGCATACTTTATGACTTATGTAGTTATGTACCTAATTGTTGTAGTATAGTATCGCCTATACAACTGTTGGAGGACAAGTTGGAGAAAAGACGATTCTGTATATTATAAACAACAAAGAAATTATATTTTGACTATAAAAAAAATAGCGTACTACAAGCAAAATGTCCTTGTTTACCTATGCTCGACGCGTAGTGATCATTCTTGAACATATAATGGCTTATCGATTCGCCTTTCAAGGACTCGACGACTAATAAAAATTAATTCGATATCGCTAAACAGTAAATATATAGGTAACATTATACTGATATACCTACATATAAACACATAATAATAAGTAATAACAACACAGTAACGTTTTTAACAGTATAATAACATTGGGAAATTATTATGGGCCAAAATAACCGACTTATATTATTGGTTAAAGATCACAACCAACCACTCGTTTTGACGGTGACGAATGACAATGTACTTATTTACATTATAAAATAATATAACTGCAATACCGACTGTACTTATCATACCAACTCGAAAACACTACATTATTATTTATTACGTTATTAAATATTACAATAATATAGGCTATACAGTATACACGTGTTGTCCATTATCATAGAACGCGTGAAAAGATATTAAATAACAGCAAGCTAATATTTTTCAACAAAATTATAACAATAATTTTTATTTGATGTTCGCGATATTAATTACCAACGAAAATTACAACTCGCGTTCTATTAACTACAAACAAAAATTTAGGGAAAATAACATTAGTAAAAACAAACATTTTAGACAAAAACTATGGTTGAATCATACTTGAACAGACATTTCATGAAGTACAATAATTTACAATCATTCCTTATTCAAGAAGAATAGCACATTTTAACACAGACATTTGATATATGATATATAGATTGTCTTATTTAAATTGTAAAGAAACATACCCTATACATTTTAAACAATTACTATACATCACATGCACATGACTTCTTTTAATCATATGCATAATATGTTTGAGTACATAATCATGTATTACTTTTACAGTGTTAGATAAGTATAAACTATTTTATTATTATATTACACTTACAAATAATAACTAAGCCTAAGTATTGTACAGTTTCAAAATATAATACACTGAATTTTCAATAATATTATCACACCAAAATACCACATAACGTCATACTATATTAAACTAAATTCAAAGCTGTTTATAATTAATTTAATACTTTTGTTTCAAATTATTCTAACAAAAAAATTAAAATTAAAAGAAAAACAACTATACATATATTATTCATAAAATAACAATATAATTCATGGTTCATTAATAATTATGATAAAAGTTTTTACATTATATTTAGCTAATGCCGAAAACACTAAATAATTCAATTAAAAATAATGTATGTTAATAATATTATTGTAAGTACTAAAAGAACATAATGTTATACTAATAAAGTAATAACRMATGCAAAACTAGGAAGTTTTTTTGTTAAATTACAACTACTTTTTATCCCCCTTTTTTTAAGAACTAATACACTAAAATATGTATACAGTTTATCATAATTTAAATAACAATATAATTATCAAGTACTAAATTTATAATTTATAAGTATAACATATAATAGACTATCTACTTGAGTTAATTTATTTTAAACCTTCAAATTAAAAATTTACAAGCATTGAAAGTAATAACTGGCCCAAGGTTCATTTGCTTACAATTTAGTAAATAACTTGAAATGATTAAAAAATAAATAAAATTTTCAAATATTACTCTGCATTTTAACTTGTTTACATAGCTTAAATAATGCTCAAAAGCCGAAATACATAGATAAGTTATATTATCAAGTATCAATAGCATATAAAATATTATTGTTAATATATAATAAGTTATCTCAAATTAAAAACATCAATAAAATTATAAAAGAATAAAGAAAAAGTATATTATTGGGCTACACGAATATTTTCTAACATCAACTTTTACCAGCATTTTTACACTATTAATTATCATGCTGTTTTACTTTCACTATATTAGATAAAAAAATATTATGAGTGTATGTATGTGTGTGTGTGATGTAAGCTATTTTCAAATAATAATTAATACTATTGAGTGTTATTTTCATGAATTTTGGTAATATTTTGTTTTGAAAATTAAAACAAACATTAAAACAATAAAAAAACATAATCATTCATTAGCTTATAACTGAATCAATAGGTATCACAATGTTAAATTGGTGTATATGTGTTGTTTCTATCTTATAACACATAACATCACAAAACATACAATTAGTACTTTCAAGCATATGTTGTCTTTCTAGGACATGGAGAACATAGTAAATTTGAGCGCAGCAGTTCTAATGTTAAGGATAGATTTTACATTCAAAAAATAAATAAATAATTAGATAAGTAAAAAATACTAAATGTATAGATTTTGTTTAATTTAATTTTTTGTTTTAGCCTTCTGTAAATCAAAAWATATTAATATTTATTGGTAACAATAATGAAGTTTTAAATAATTTTTCAAAATTATAATTCGAGATAAATATGCAGGTTAGACATTCTGGCATAATGAACATATTATTATGATATTAGATATCTATGTATATTTAATTTTGATAAATATATATATATATACATATATGATCTTAAAATGCATATTACCTACATTCATTAATGTTGTAAAATAAATGTATACAACATTATTGTATATACCAGAATATATGTATACCTAGGTATGTATTATAAATATCAAGAAATCCTTATAAAGTACCTATGTTTCATAAAAATTATATTTTTTTTAGATATCACCTAAACGAGGCAAAAATTAATATATGTATAATATTTTGTTTTGACACAAAAAAAATATTATTCACAGAGATTGGCTTATTCAAATACAAATAATTTCACATTATTAACAATTTTCATTCTAAAAATAAAATATTTCTTAAACAGGTTTGAATGTTTTAAGCTTATGACCTAGTATCTAACTTGTTTTTAAGTTTTTGAATTATTGAATAGAAGACCCAAATAAAATTTAAAAGTATATGTCACTCTAAAACTAATCGGTGCAATTATTGTACCTGCAAATACCTAACTAAGCTCTGGTCTGAAATCTAAAACAATACCCCAAAGTAGTTACTTAAATAAAGCAATACTAGTTTATAATAGTTTATACTCAACTAAAAGCATTTGAATTGAGTGTAATACAATATAATTAGTATATCCAGATTTTAATTTAAGGTAATATTTTCAATTTAT